CCCCAAACATGATATATTTTATGAAAGCCAAGACCCTATAGAATAAAATGGTGGCAGTTGCAAATTTTTATGTTGCACAATATAAGCGCAACTCCTTATCAAACCCAGAAATTTAGTGAAAAATTTACTTAAATGCCTCAAAACACAATAAAATACCCATTTTTAAAATAAAATATAAAATATGAGGTTACAACGAGTAAATACATACCCAACATGCCCAGGTTAAAAATTGTGTGCGTCCGTGAAACGGCGACAAACCTCAGTACCCCAAAAAGTCCATGGACGACGATTTAAAAGCCCCCACAGGTCATCAATTTAGAGATAGCCAAAAATACTGGCCCTAGAATTATTGCCCTCATCTGCCGGCATGCGCAGCGATACCCAACATGTATAGCGCGTTCGTTGTTTTCATACGTAGGCGCACCCGACGTGTGTTTATCATGGCTCATATAGAGCCCTGTGCCCTGATTGGTCAAAGTCTTGCACCTGAGCTGTGGTCAGGTGCATTGCTTTACCAAGTCAGGGAGCTCCAATGCACACGCTCGGCGGGCGAACAGCCTGCTGAACGCACTGACGCTCTCACGTTCAACTCAAACATAGAGCCCACGCCTACAAGTAACATGTTGGCTATTTGGCCGGGTCGCCACTCTGCTTGACATCTGACACATTTACATTGTTGGGGAGAACTCCATTCTCTTTCGTTTGGTGCATGTGCTGTGCTCTTTGTGAGACTTTAGAGGAGTGACAACAACACTGATTCAGCGATTTTCCAGCCTGCCCGATCATGGGAATGCGGCAAGAAGTACAGTAATTAAAATCATTGGGTTCCCATCAACTTATCGATTATCGTTCAAAAGACGATTCGTGGACGATTTTTGAATGAAAATTGATAGGTGTGTGGGCACCTTTACTCTGGTTACAATTCTAAATCGTTGGATTTCCTCTCACTTTGTGTGTCAGTGACAATAGTCAGTATGTCAAATAAAGGTTGAACATCCCCAGATGGGACACAGACAGGCCATAACCCTTCCCCATTCTTTACCAAAAACTAAAAAACAATACTATGGGGTCTATTCACGAAGCTGCCGAAGGATCTGGCTGTAGCTTCGGCCGATCCTCCGGCTAGCTTTGGCTCCAGGACCCCTTTAGTGAATAGCCGAACAGTGTTCGGCTCACTTCACTTCAGATCGGTCATTCACTCGGCTGCCCTCGGCAGCTTCGTGAATAGACACCTATGTTTTGCCTTTACATACATTTAAGACTATGAAAATGAAAGTTGCTAGTAAGGCATAAACGTGAAGTAGATCTATGTATTATGTAAAGCACAACCTCTAATAAACATGGGGTATCTGAAAAAGAAGAAAAAAAAAAAGAAATATAGGATATTCTGTCTTATATTACCAGAAAAACCCACAACCACAAATATATTATATATATACAGGTGAAACTCGAAAAATTAGAATATCGTGCAAAAGTTCATTTATTTCACTAATGCAACTTAGCCGTCTACCAGGAGATTTTGGAGCACTTCATGATTTCTTCCGCAGA